GAGTTTCCTGGGTCATTGGTGCCCCGCAATGGGAGTCAGGACTCCAGACTGCATCAAGAAGGGCCCAAAGGAGGTGGCAAGTATAGGACTGTGGGAATGGCAGGAGAGCCCCCATTGCTGGGGAGTTTAAAAGGCAGTGGAGCCCTGCAGCTCTATGGAAACAGGGCTGAGCAAATCCAGTACTGAAAGGCCAGGTCTGTGGCAGGTTGCTCTTTCTTCCCCAGGGTTTAGGCCTGTGGGGTCACTGTGAGATGGGGAACAGAGAAGCAGTAGAGAGGTTCTGCAGGGAGTTCCTGTTTGCATTTCTTCACAGCCCACAGAAGGGCAGCTGCCTACAACAGCAACCCGAGCCCTGTTTTGCTGCATTTCGAGTTCTCAACACTCCTAGAGATGTGAGTGATGATGGCGGACTATGAGTCTAAATACAAAAAGAGATGGCCTTCCTTGGACTCCAGAGGAAGATTTTTGTGCTCCATCTCTCTTGTCTTTTCTACATAATTCTGCCATATCTCTCCCCTATTCTCTTCTTCTCACCCTTCAGGTACCCAGGGCACCTGGACAGTCAACCTACTCTTAGTATGTACATGCTGCTATAACAAAATACCATGAAATGGGTAATTTATAAAAAATAAAAGAAAATTTACTTCTTACAGTTCTGGAGGCTGGAAAGTCCAAGATCAAGGTGCCAGCAGGACTTATGTCTTGTGAGTACTGCTCTCTGTTTCCAAGATGGTGCCTTGTTGCATCCTCTGGAGAGGAAGGAAAACTGTGATCTTAAGTGGTAGAAGAGCAGATGCATGAAAGCGGCCTAAACTTGTTCTCTCCAGCCTTTTGATAAGGCATTGATCCATTCGTGACTTAAGCATATGCTTAAAGGTTTGCCTTAAGGGACATGCATTGTGGTACATTGGTTAAGTCCTAATTTGGGATGCCTGCATCCCATATCCAAGTGTCAGTTCAAGTCCTGGCTACACTTCTGATCCAGCTTCCTTCTAATGTACTTGGAGGCAGTTGATGGTGGTCCAAGTATTTGGGTCCTTGTCATTCACCTGAAAGACCTATATGGAGCTCACTTCTGACTTTAGCTTGGCACAGCCCTGGTTGTTGTGGGCCTTTATAGAGTAAACCAGGGGCTGGCACTGTGGCTTAGTAGGCTAGATATGCTGCTGTGCCAGCATATCATATGGGTACCAGTTCGAGGCCCGGCTGCTCCTCTTCCAATCTAGCTCTCTGCCGTGGCCTGGGAAAGCAGTGGAAGATGGCCCAGGTGCTTGGGCCCCTGCACCCGCGTGGGAGACCTGGAAAAAGTTCCTGGCTCCTGACTTGGGATTGGCTCAGCTCTGGCCTTTGTAGCCATTTGGGGAGTGAACCAGTGGATAGAAGACCTCTATTTCTCTCTCCTTCTCTCTTTCTCTCTATAACTCTGCCTGTCAAATAAATAAATCTTAAAAAAAAAGTGAGCCAGCAGATGGAAATCTGTCTCTCCCTCTGTCTCTGTTACTCTGCCTTTCAAATAAATAAGCCAATTGTTTAAAAAAGGTTCTAGGGGCTGGTGCTGTGGCACTGGTTTGGGTTCTAGCTGTTCTACTTCTAATCCAGCTCCCTGCTGGTGTGCCTGGGAGGGCAGCGGGGGATGGCCTGGGTGCTTGGGTCCTTGTGCCCATATGGGAGACCTGGGGGAGGCTTCTGACTCCCTGCCTTTGGCCTGGCCCAGCCCTGGCTATTGTGGCCTTTTAGCGAGTGAGCTGGCAGATGGAGGGTGGGTCTCTCTGTCTCTCTGACTCTGGCTTTCAAATAAATGGATAGATCTTAGGAAAAAATTTTTTTAAAAAAAGTCCTAGGGGCTGGTGTTATGGCATAGCAATTAAAAGTGCCCACTTTGAGAAGCACTGCAAGATGTCCCAAGAGCTTTGGCCCCTGCACCCACTTGGGAGACCTGGAGGAAACTCTTGGTTCTTGGCTTCAGCCTGGTCTAGCCCTGGCTGTTGTGGCCATTTAGGGAGTGAACCAGTGAATGGAAGACCTTTCTCTCTGTCTCTACCTCTTTTTCCCTCTCTGCAACTCTGCCTTTCAAATAAATAAAGTAAATCTTTTTTCAAAGGATATACCTATAATACCACCAACACATGAACTTGGGTTACATTCAGACCAAAGCACACCCCTGGATAACATGTTATAAGCAGTGTGCAACAATGAAAGAGCACAGATTTGTGTCCATTTCAACCAGGTGTTGAATTATGACTCTGCCATTTCCCAGATGGAGAGTTTTAGATGAAGTCACTCTCTCTCTCTGAACTGGTTTCTAGTTCTGAAAAACATAGGGAATAGTACTATAGTTAACAGAAGGCTTAGAGCCACATACTTATGACATAAACATGGAAAACAGCCTACCTCCTTTTTGAAAACGATTTATGTATTTTGAAGGCAGAGAGAGAGGGAGCAAGCGAGAAGACTGTGCCAGGAGCCAGGAGCTTCTTCTGGGTCCCCTGCATGGGTGCAGGGGTCCAAGCACTCGGGCCACCCTCTGCTGCCCCTGCCAGGCACACCACTGGGACTGGTGCTGTGGCTTAGTAGGTTGAGCCTCTGACTATGGTGCTGGCATCCCATATGGACACAGGTTCGAGTTCCAGCTGCTCCACTTCCAATCCAGCATTCCTGATAATGGCCTGGGAAAACAGTGGAAGATGACCCAAGTGCTTGGGCCCTTGCACCCACGTGGGAGACCCGGAAGAAGCTCCTGGTTCCTGGCTTTGGATAAGCCCAGCTCCATCTGTTGTGGCCATTTGGGGAGTGAACCAGCAGATGAAAGATCTCTCTCTCTCTCTCTCTCTCTCTAACTCTGCCTTCTCCTTCTCCTTTTCCATTTATTTATTTATTTGAAAGGCAGAGTCAGAGAGGGGCAGACTCAGGGGCAGAGAGAGAGAGAGAGGTCTTCCATCCTCTGGTTCACTCCCCAAATGGCCACAATGGCCAGAGCTGGGCCTATCTGAAGCCAGGAGCCAGGAGCTTCTTCCAGGTCTCCCACATGAGTGCAGGGATCCAAGGACTTGGGTCATCTTCTGCTGTTTTCCCAGGCACATTAGCAGGGAGCTGGATTGGAACTGGAGCAGCCAGAATTTGAACCAGTGCTCATATGGGATGCTGGCATAGCAGGTGGTTCTGTACCCACGTGGGAGACTGGAAGAAGTTCCTGGTTCCGGCCTGGCTCAGCCCCAGCCATTGCAGCTGTTTGGGGAGTGAACCAGTGATGGAAGATCTCTGCCTCTTAAATGTATAAGAAATAAATCTTTTAAAAAACTTTTATTTAACTATTTTGTTTTTGAAAGGCAAGGAGACAAAGATGTCTCATCTGCAGGTTCATTCCCCAAATGTTCACAACAGCTCCTGAAACCAGGAGCCGGGAACTCAATTGAGGTCTCCCATGCACTTGAGCCATCATTTGTTGCCTCTCGGGGCAGGAGGCTGTAATTGGAAGCCCAGCCAGGACAGAACCAGGCACTCCCATATGGGATGTGGACGCCCCAAGTAGGGTCTTTATTTTTTTTTTCTTAATATTTATTTATTTGAAAGGCAGAGTGGGGGGGGGGAGGTGGGGAGGGAGGGAGGGAGAGAGAGAGGGAGAGAGAGAGAGAGAGAGAGAGAATCTTCCATCCACTGGTTCACTCCCTAAATGGCTGCAATGGCTGGGGCTGGGCCAGCCCAAAGCCAGGAGCCTGGAGCATCTTCCGGGTCTCCCACGCCAGTGCAGGGGTCCAAGAATTTGGGCCATCTTCCACTGCTTTCCCAGGTCATAGCAGAGAGCTGGATCAGAAGTGGAGTAGGCCGGCGCCGTGGCTCACTAGGCTAATCCTCCACCTAGCGGCGCCAGCACACCAGGTTCTAGTCCCGGTCCGGGTGCCGGATTCTGTCCCGGTTGCCCCTCTTCCAGGCCAGCTCTCTGCTATGGCCCGGGAGTGCAGTGGAGGATGGCCCAAGTGCTTGGGCCCTGCACCCCATGGGAGACCAGGAGAAGCACCTGGCTCCTGGCTTCGGATCAGCGCGGTGCGCCGGCCACAGCGCGCCGGCTGCGGCGGCCATTGGAGGGTGAACCAACGGCAAAAAAAGGAAGACCTTTATCTCTGCCTCTCTCACTGTGCACTCTGCCTGTCCAAAAAAAAAAAAAAAAAAGTGGAGTAGTGAGGACTCCAACCACTGCCCATATAGGATGCACTGCAGCAGACAGCAGCTTTACCAGCTACATCACAGCACCTGCCTCCCAATTAGGGTCTTAACCACTACTACAAATGTCCACCCCTACTTACTTCTTAAATGAAAGCTTTGGCTTAGTTTTTAAATTTTTTAAAAAAGATTTATTTATTTGAAAGTCAGAGTTACATACAGAGGGGAGAGGCCAAAATGGCTGGAGCTGTGCCTATCCGAAGCCAGGAGATTCTTCTGGGTCTCCCACACGGGTGCAAGGGCCCAAGGACTTGGGCCATCTTCTGCTTTCTCAGGCCACAGCAGAGAACTGAATCAGAAGTGGAGCAGCCGGGACTTGAAGCGACGCCCATATCGGATGCCGGCGTTGCAGGCGGCGGCCCCACCCGCTACGCCACAGCTTAGTTCTAAGATGCTTTTTCGATGTGAGTTTAAGTCATGGGAACTACGCCTCCCAGGGTGTTTAATTCAAAGCAGACTCTGTGTCAGGCATCGGCGAGCAGGAAAAGGAGGGTATCTGGAGATGCAGGTTTGGGGTGCGCAGGAGGTGGAGGTCTCCAGGGGCCACTACACTGACAGCGTATCAGGCAGTCTCTCTACTCATAAGGATATTACACACGAATTCACTGAAGCACAACTTGAACGGAGTTGGAAAGGCGACAGGATGACGTAATCTAACCCGCGCCGCAAACGCAGCCTCCAGCGAGCGTAGGCGCAGGCGCAAGACCTTTGTGGGCGGGACTCAGGCCGTGGGGCTGGAACGCGGGGCCGCGGACTGGCTGGCCGCAAGACCGACAGTTGGCCGTGCCTCATTGGTATGCGCACAGCGCATGCGCGGGGCGGGAGCGAGCGAAATTCAAGCTCCCGCCGAGATACGTTGAACAACCCGGTCATGGAGCCGTCCCGTGGATTTGCGGAAGCCGAAGCCTTGAGCCCGGAGCAGGCTGCTCGTTACTTGAGGTATGTTTGGACTGCCAGGCGGATCTAGCTCGCAGGCCCTGTCTCGGAGTGCCGGTGGCGGGGTGGGGGTGGGGGGTGAGCGGAGTGGCTCTTGGACCCTCTTGGGGGCCCAAACTGCTAAGGCAGAGCCTTGTGATTAGTGCGGGCCTGAGAATCAGCTCTGGATATGGGTCAGACTTCTAAAGCTTGGGGAACCCTCAGGGCCCCCTCTTCTGGTCAACTAATCCTCCAGTCCGAGCCCTTTCAGAGCTAGAATCTTTCCAGACTACCAAGCCCCAGGCCTAGGAAAACACCGGCCTTGCCCCCAGATTGCTTATAATCTTGTAGTGGAAACTGAGCGGCAAATCAATAATTGCTATAATGTTCAGTAAGTGCTGTAAGACGTGTGAAGTGCGGAGCACAGTGTTGTAATAAAAGAGGTTACCGACTACAAGGGTTAGAGGAGGAAATATTTGAGCGGTATGTTGAAAAATGATTAAGTATTCACAAGATGGCTAAGGGGAGGAGCATCGTGATGTGGGGATGAGCATTTAAGAGTTTTTAAAATTGTGCTAAACTACACATAAACTTTACCATCTTCACGATTTCATTGGTATTACATTTAACACCATTGGTGTTACATTTACATTATTGTACAATCATTGCCACCACCCATCTCCAGAACTTTAATTTTGCAAAAGAGCAACTGTACCCATTAAATAACTCTACTTCCTCCTTCCCCAGCCCTTGACAACCACCATTCTTCTGTTTGTATGCATTTGACCATTTTATATTCATTATATAAATGGAACCATTGCAGGATTTGTCTCTGTGCTTGGCTTATTTCACTTAGCATAGAGTTCTTGTATCATGTAACAGGATTTCACTTTTAAGACTGAGTATAGGCTGGCGCCGCGGCTCACTAGGCTAATCCTCCGCCTTGCGGCGCCGGCACACCAGGTTCTAGTCCCGGTCCGGGCGCCGGATTCTGTCCCGGTTGCCCCTCTTCCAGGCCAGCTCTCTGCTGTGGCCAGGGAGTGCAGTGGAGGATGGCCCAAGTGCTTGGGCCCTGCACCCCACGGGAGATCAGGAAAAGCACCTGGCTCCTGGCTTCGGATCAGCACGGTGTGCGGCCATTGGAGGGTGAACCAACGGCAAAAGGAAGACCTTTCTCTCTGTGTCTCTCTCTCTCTCACTGTCCACTCTGCCTGTCAAAAAAAAAAAAATGAGTATATACCACACTTTGTTTGTGTGTCTGTTAAGCTTACTTGGGTTGCCTCTATCTCTTGGCAGTTGTGAATACTGCTGCTATGAACATGGGCACGTATGAGGAAACTCCAAAAAGTTCACAGAAAATAGAACCAAAAGATGAGTTTATTTTGCTGCAGAAGTTTTTGAAATCCACACATAGTTATTTCATAATAAACATGCTTTATGAACTTTTTGAATATCACCTTTTTTCAGTCATTAGGATACGTTGATATTATTTTTTAGAAAACTTTTATTTAATAAATATAAATTTCTAAAGTACAACTTTTGTATTATAGCAGTTTTTCCCCCCATAACCACCCTCCCACCCACAAACCATCCCATCTCCTACTCCCTCTCCCATCCCATTCTTCATTAAGATTCATTTTTAATTATCTTTATATACAGAAGATCAACTTAGTATATACTAAGTAAAGATTTCAACAGACTGCACCCACACAGACACACAAAGTATAAAGTACTGTTGGAGTACTAGTTATACTGTTAATTCGCATAGTACAACACATTAAGGACAGAGATCCCACATGGGGAGTAAGTGC